AAGGAAAGAAGAGAAGAGAAGAGAAGAGAAGGAGAAGGAGAAGGAGAAGGAGAAGGAGAAGAGAAGAGAAAAGGAAAGGAAAGGAAAGGAAAGGAAAGAAGAGAAGAGAAGAGAAGGAGAAGGAGAAGGAGAAGGAGAAGGAGAAAGAGAAAGAGATGAAGAAAGAGATGAAGAAAGAGAAGAGAAGGAGAAGAGAAGGAGAAGCAGAAGGCGAAGAGGAGAAGAGAAGGCGAAGAGAAGAAGAGAAGGAAAGAAAAGAGAAGGAAGGGGAGGAGAAAAGAAAAGAGAAGAAGTGAAGAGAAGTGAAGAAAAGAAAAGGGAAGAAAAGGAAAGAGCCGTCGTGTTCGCGGAAATCAAACAAGAAATGGGCAGCGAAACGAGGCAATACAAGAAAGGCACACGGCACACGCCGCGGGAGGGCGGCTCGTGACACTTTACTTTCGATTCGCAAAGCCGTTCCTGGAGCGGCAGCGGCGGTCGGCCGGCCCCGGCCAGGGAGGGAAGGACCAGGGGGACCCGGTCGGGTCGGGTCTGGCGCCGTAAAACAAGTATATTGGCGTTGGGTAACCGGGTGCACCCATTGTGGCCGGCGCAAACCGAGGCGTAAGCCCGAGAGAAAGGCGGGGCAGGGCTGCACCACGGGGGGGTGAAGGGCGAGCGAGCACACGGCGCTGCTTGCTTCCGTTGAAAGTTTTATTTTTGTTATGGAGGCGTTGCAAGAAGGACCGTCGATCTGTGCTTACGGACAGGGCGGATGAATGCCTGTCCGACGTCACGTACGACCTCTTTTTCATCCACAGCAGCGTTCTCATGTTTTCTCTGCCCCCTCTCATCTTATCCGCTCTCACTCAATCACACGATACGACGGCCACACTGCTGGAGGAGCACTGAGCCGACCAGTGCGTGACTTGTCGTCTCTGGAAACCCAACAGTGGAACCGTTCTCCTGCATGTTATTGCAACAGTAGGACAAAATGTTCCACTGTTGAATTTTGTAAGAGTGGGAATTCGCGCCAAAGTCCACGTGAGAGCAGTGGAATGACAAAACCTTTCCTCTGACAGTGAGGGGAGGGTGCATCAACACGCAGACACCACTGGCGCGTGCCAGTTTATTCCCAGCACTGGACGGACAGCTTGCAGGAGCCAGATCGGAGCGATTGCAAACGCCTGCAGCTTGCACTTCGGCCTGCGTTGCTCCCGCTGGCTGTCCGTATGCAATAAGGCCGATGACATTCAGTGAATGCATGTAGTCCGTACGAAGGTGAACGCGCTCGTTTATCTATGCATAGCTGGTTTACACGCTGCTAAAAATAGTCACGAACCAAACGAATCAATTTTGGGTGGGACTGGTATCCCTATTTTAAGTACTGCTAACGGGAAACAACTTTCCACCATGTAAAAAAATCTAAAATAAATAAAACAAATCATAGACTTTTTACAGTACATAATGGGCACCCTCATTGCGGCGAGCGCCTTTTGTCACAGTGTAGTCTCGCGGGCCCGACCTGGCCTTGCGCGCGCGCGCACTCGCCCCGCGATAAAACTAGTAGAGCAGCCCTACCACCTGGAATA